AATTGGGTAGACGTACATCTGTCCTAGGCTCTATGTTGATGATGTCTGTCTGTGAGTTATTTTATTTTACATATATTATCACCTTAAACGAATATCCAATCAAATTTCACAGGATACGTAAATACTTTTCAGCATTATATTCTAAGTGTACGGTTTGAGGTAATTACTGAAGTATCAAGTTAGATGTTACTTAAAATATTAGTACAACTAGAAACATTTTCTAATAATCATGGAATTTTTATATTTATAAGTTTATACCTTTTTGTAAACTACCTTATATTTAATAATAAAAATGATGATTACTTTATACTACCCCAGTGAGTAGGAAACTGAATCTCTGACGTTTCGTAGCTTAATGTCAGTCGCTTATTCAAAAAATAAATGACAGTTCCCATAATCCTCAATTTATTTGTAAGTGCTCCTTGTATAGTTGTATAGTAAACATCTGAATGAACCGAGGAAAAAGTGAAGTTTTAACATTACGATTTCAAGTTATTTGAAGAAATATATATCTCAGTGTAACTGCAATAAGAATAGCATCTTTAGATGTGACATCTATTTCCACTAACAGAGAACATAAACCTTCTGTTATTATAATGAAGACAAAAACCTCGATATTAGTGCTCAAAAGCATTATTTAAAGAAAGTATTCCTATGATGCACCGTCGTAGTTCAGTTTTGATCTGATAATGAGTTTAACAGAAAAATTAACGACGTCGCTATGGGTTTACTGTTTGGCCCTCTTCTTGGAAATCTTTTCATGAACAATTGTGAGAACACAGTACTTCGACCGAACACTGAAAACTTTCACTTATACAGAAGGCATATGGATGAAACTTTCACTTTTTATTATGAAAACAGTGACCTCAACTTCATCCTGGATACGTTCAGTGACTCCCATCAATCCATCGAATTCATATTGGAATCAAAATTAAACTCAAAATTTCGTTCCCTTGATATCCTATTCACTAGAAGACAACATGGTACATTGTTAGTGTCGATAAATCTAACACCAACTTGAAATGGACAATATACGTATTTCCATAGCTGAAAACCTTTATTTTTTATCATCGAAAGTTATGTGGATATGGTAGGAAAATACGATAAACGAGGAACTACACAACATTGATAGATATTCCTCAAAAACATCTATTTATGCAGGTTTATTGAGTGCGACCTGAAACCTAAATTATAGTCTACAAGAACCCATACAGTTCTTAAGAAGACTCTGTTGCTAATCATTCAGTTCAAGGGAAATACTGCTAAAGAAAATTTGAAGAATCTTTCAAGGAAGCTTTTTATAACCCTAAGCATCGCACCATCTTTTCCAGCTGCCCCATCGTTTGTAGATGTATCATAGACAAACTCTCTCACTGGGCCGCATCAATGTGTAATACAAGTCCACCTGCTCTTGTAAAGCAGGTTACGTAGACTACACAAATCGAGAATTTGCCAAATGCACCTCCGAAAATTATCACGCATGGCTTTCAAAAGGTGAATGTAGATTAATCAAATATTTAATATTAGAGCATCTTAGAAACTATGGTCATATAGGCTTATCAGATAAATCCTTTAAAATTATTTACATAGTCAAACGGTTTGGTTGGAAAGGAGTACAAATAAATAACTTCTTCACTGGCAATCCATTTTTCAAACCTGAACTCTGTGTGCAAAGAAACAGGTCCAAGCCATCATTCTTTTATGACTACAACGCTTAATTTTACATAAATGGTAATTTGATTTGATTTTATCTGGTTAGTTTTTTTTAATCTTAATTTCAGTTATTCCTTATTATCAGCTTCATATTTTTAATTTATTCTTCACCCTTCTCATACTCGTCAAGTAAACAATTATCATTCTCAATTTTGATTTCGTTTTATTATCTCTTCAATTCTAGATTATTAAGCAACTTTCCATGACATACGATTGGTATAATGATCCTCCTATCTTTCAACAGACTACTTTACTTGTAAATTAACTACAAATACCATTTTAAGACTTCAGTCAATGATACTGTCTGAATTCTTTTTCAGTGACGTCGTGGGTTTTTTCCATTATTTTAAGTATATATCTTCGTTGAACAAGCGTATTTTCCATTAACATCCATTAGCCTGTGATAAGCATTTTATCTAAATTGAACTTTCAGTCTGTCTTGGATAGCGTATGGCCTGAGAGGAATGCATAGTGGTTCGACTTACCCCAGCTAATATAAACATAGTAAAAGAGAAAACTAACAAAGTGAAGAGCAAAAGATTAATTTTATCAACATGTCATGAAAAGCAAAACATAGGAAATCTACTTTTGTGGAAAGCAATGAGTTCTAAAAATAAGGATTGTAAAATAAAACCAAGCCAGTCTATCAGAGGAAGATATGAAATGGATCCGACTGTGCCACTTCACAGGATTTTGGACCACGTCACCTAATTACTCCAATCATTAATCACAGTTGTCGAACGAATCGTAAGCTGGAAGTCTATACCTGTTGATATGGGGTCAGTCCAATGGTTAACTAATTCATGGACTGATGTCATGTTGTTGATTAGCCATCTCTAAATTTATTCCAACCTACTTCTACCCCAGTCAGCATTACGTTACTGGTAGACAATATTTCGAAATATGTATCACATATTCTAATCACCTTGGTCAATTATGGTTCACTGTTTCACTTGCCGACTTACGACTCTTACTTAGCCCCCCGCACTTCAGCAATACTCACTTGAAGTCCTATCAAATGTGAACAGTGTTTCCAATACACCTATGTTTTAATACTGATAGATATTATTAGGGACTTCTCTATTTGATTTACAAAGAATTAGATCAAATAAAATGTATATATCTAACTAACTTATGAGTACAATTCATTGAACTATGAATTATCATTATTTTAGTCCTACAAAATGTGTGCATTAAGGATGCAGAACAATTAAAATTTTCACTGTAGATTTGTTACATCACATTAAAATTATCTATTATACAACTTGATAATGAAAATAAGAATAATAGGAACATATTTGGTAAAACTATCCTCTATTATCACTACATTATTGCAATGAACAATTTATTTTAGTAAATGAAGTGGTTGATTTTAACTAACAATATTTTATCATTGATAAAATATCACATTTAGGAGATAGTTATAGAGTTTACTAAATAAACAAATACATTAAATTAAAATAGATATTTAAACAGCTGATCACTAACCCAGTGGTCAAATGGGGACTGATTTGTAAAACAAATATCAACCAAATCAGTCAAGTACATGGTATGATCATATATATTAATTTATTTTACACGCTAGACAATGAGTTAGCGTTATTGATAGAAAATAATTCTTATTTTCCAGTATTTCCGACTCCAGTATTACCATCAATAAATACGAAAACATGATCTGATAATATATGTTTAAAATTTAGATAAAAAGGAAACTGATTTTAAGCAAACTACTCTAAGTTCTAAAATCAAACTTCAGTGCAGATTTATTGTACCCCTTCAAACAAATGGCTTGGGTTAAGTCACTTACTTACTCACCTCTGTTAGTGAAAGAGCACAGGTCACCCACCATCATTCTCCATCCAAGTCTGTCCTGATCAATCCTTTCACGTTGATTCCGGTTGCTATTCATCTTTTTCCTGTCTGTTTCCAATTCTTGATACAGTGTATTCTTATGGACTTCCTTTTCTACGTTTCCATCCAGGGTTCCAAGCTAGCGCCTTCCGCGTGATTCAGTTTGACGACTTCCACCATGTGTGTTCTACCTTCTTCCAGAATTTTTCCCTAATTTTCTCTTCAGATGGAAGGTGGTTTTTTTTCTCTTCTGCAGTAGGTTGTTGCTGATGGTATCTAACCAGCAGACATTGAGTATATTGAGTAGACAGTTGTTTATAAATACTTTTACCTTTTTTATGATGGTTGTAGTAGTTCTCAATGTTTCAGCTCCATATAGTAGGACTGTCTGGACATTTGTATTCAAGATCGTGACTTTGATGTTGGTTGAAAGTTGTTTTGAGTTCCATATGTTCTTCAAATGTAGGAATGTTGTTCTTAATTTGCCAATAATTGCTTTACGTCTGCATCGGACCCTCCTTGTTCATCGACAATGCTGCTGATCAGGTACGTGAAAGTTTCCACCTCTTCCAGAGTGTCTCCATCAAATGTGACTTGGTTGGTGTTCTCCGTGTTGTATTTGAGGCCTACGGATGCAGAGACTTCTGCTACACTGTTTGTTAAAGTGAATGGGATAGAAGGGCCAGATCATCTGCGAAGTCCAAATCGTCTATCATTCCGTGCTTCACGTCAGATGTTGAGGTCTTCATAATCCAGTTACCACCAGAAGAAAGAGGAAAGGAGAGAGTAGACAGTCCTTGCTTGGGATACGTCTGTCAGCTATTCCTCGTGCACGAATTTGCAGTGTAGTCTGTTGTATGAATTCCGTATGATGTTGACGATTTTCTCAGGTACACCATAGCGTCGAAGATGTTTCCACGAGGTTCTCTTATCCGCACTATCAAACGCCTTTTCATAATCAAGAAATTTGGTGTACAGTGACGCGTTCCATACAATTGATTGTTCGACGATGATGCATGATAGGTAGTTTACAATAAACTACACAATACTGTAAGAATAAATTACACAGTCATTGAGCTAGTCTGTTCTATAACAAATTTCCTTAAATGTATGATAATCTTTTAATGATAAGTGCTAGGTTAACTCGATGGTTTGAAAGGCAATCGACAAGAATCACTGGAATCAGCTTTTTCTGCCGTTTGTCTTTAGTAGCCAACATCAAAACTAGTTATTTACCTTAATGGTATTCCTTTTATTGACACACTTCATATAATCTGGTGAATTACCGTTTCTAGTTGATATTTTAAAGATGAGTGACCATAAATTGTGTAGCGTTTATACATTCCTTTCTAATAATAAAAATAATACGATGTTGTCAGTCAAGTTCCTCCACAAGAACAGACGAAAACAGCTCAACAAGTAACAAAATAACCAAATCAGCTGTAGTGAAATATAATATTTGTTTAGTGAACATATTTAATGAAAACTAAAGTATCGTTTCTCATATATGTGTTAACAGACATTTATCATCAATTTTAATTAATGAAAGGTTAAATGTCGCTCAATTCATAAATATCTTTTACATATAATAGTAACTAAGTGCAATATATGACTAATTGTGATACAGAAAGATGTTCAATGAAATGATTTTTTATTAGCCCCTGTGGTTTATTTACTTATACTTTTCAATCATCTCTCTCAGTTTGTCTAAATTTGCACCAACAACTTCGTCCACTTTTTCGCCGCCTTTGAATGCAATAAATGTAGGCATTGCAGCTATAGCATATGTTTCGGCTGCAGACTAAAAATAAAAGTACAAGTGACGATGATGCCTAGGAAAAACTTTAATTGTCAATAACAATAAATACTGAAAATATTATGTTTCTCAAGGATATAAATCATAGGAGTCCATCTGACCAGCCCAATAATCGATGTATCAGTCTGTTAACGGAGTAATTTTTCTGTCTTCATATACTGCTAGGAATTATTATTTTTAATCTATAACAGAACCTACCTTGACTCTTGTCGTCAGTAGAATCCGTGATTTCTATTACTTTTGTATGTGAAAATAATGTTTAAATAAATTGTGGCCCTATCTATATTTCATGTAACTTTCGGTACCAGTGGTCTGTTTTATTTCCAGTGCCTCATAGAAAGAGCACTATGGCAAATTGGGAGTTGACTCGACACAAGCCTTTGTAGGTTTGCCAAAATTTGCGAAATTACCCAAATTATTGGACCGTTTAGGAAAAGAAAGTATGATAATAAAGGCAGAAATCAAAGTAATTGAACAGCCAGAAGGTCATTGAAAACTGTTTTTATAGAAAAATAGTACCATGGACTCTTTAGCAAGACTATTCTTCGTCTGGAAATATCATTATTTGATGTGCCGTTAGAGCAAAGCTAAACAATCCATATTTCCGTATTGCAATAATGGACTGCAATTACCTATTTAGTGGATTGATCTGATGTCTCAATAGTTATTTCTTCTTTTTAAACCAATAAACTAACAGTAACGAGGATTAACAGGAAATACACAATACGTAATCTATCTTAGTCAACGAGGGCCCTCTTTTGACAATTTTCCTTTCTGTTTGTAAATATCTTTCCAGTTCTACCGATCAGGATTTTCAATACAGATGTCAAGACAGTTCTACTGTATGGTGCGGAAACCTGGAGAACTACGAAAGCCATCATCCAGAAGATACAGGTGTTTATTAACAGTTGTCTACGCAAAATACTTCGGATCCGTTGGCCGGACACTATTAGCAACAACGTACTGTGGGAGAGAACAAACCAGATCCCAGCGGAGGAAGAAATCAGGAAGAAGCGCTGGAAGTGGATAGGACACACATTGAGGAAAGCACCCAACTGCGTCACAAGACAAGCCCTCACATGGAATCCTCAAGGCCAAAGGAAAAGAGGAAGATCAAAGAACACATTACGCCGAGAAATGGAAATAGATATGAAAAAGATGGACAAGAATTGGATGGAATTAGAAAAGGAGGCCCAGGACAGAGTGGGTTGGAGAATGCTGGTCGGTGGCCTATGCTCCATTGGGAGTAACAAGCGTAAGTAAGTAACTCTACTGATCTCTTGTTTCCAAAGTTTTAACTTAGGTAGAAACATTCTTTTATGAGCTTTTATTGTCTTGCTAGTAACAAGAATGGAAGATCAACTTTTATGAATAAACCTCAGATTCTAATAAAGGGAATCTTAATTCATTTGACTGTGCTCCATAGCTTTAGTTCACAGTATAAAATGTATCATAATCATCACTGCAGGATAAAAAAAGACATTTAGAGGACAATTACTATGAGATATGCTAGATGTATACTTTTGACAAAGAGGAATGTATTTACTAGCTAACATAATATCACAAAGTATATATACATACCATTCATCGAGATATCAAAATGTTATAAACCGTGTCCGCATTAATAAGAATTGCTTTCTGAAACGTCACTAAAAATTCAAACCACATGTAACTAATCGACCAAGTTTAATAACATTGTAAGTTGACTGTAACAAGCTTAACATGGTAATTTAACGCTTAATCTTTTATTTGGATATTACATGTTATTAAGCTATTGATTAGTACTAAAGTCAACTGTATACTTTTTATCACATCTATGACTTTTTATCTGAATAAAATCTAAACATTGGTGGATGTTTTCCCGCTAAGATATAAACACTGCAACTACTTACCCAAGTGTCAGAAGAACGGCAGAAATGTTAACCAACTACATATATATTGAAATAGTAACTATAAATACATATTCGACTTGGTTGGAAGGATAAACAAACAAATGTCCCTAGAATCAATTCCAAACTATAATTTGTTTGTAAAAATTAGGTGCAAAAATCAGTTGATCAGATTTGTCACTAAAATAATCTTTAACAAGACGAATTGAGACAACGAAGAATATTTGAATCAAAAGGGAAAAACTATAGAGAATTTGTATCCCATATCTGGATGGTTTGGCCACTAACATTTGATTGTCCATCTAAATATTGCTGTCGGTATTGTTTGAGAAAGAAGAATAAGTTTTAACGCCTACACCATTTATCAGGCTAGAAGAGTCATATTTAACCATAAACATAGACGACAGGATAAGTTTTAAGCCTAATCTGCTTAATCTGTAAATAACATAAACGTACTTAAATTAGTCATTTTGTGTCTGGATAGATGACATTCTGTATACTCAGAAATAGGTACAATCTATAAGATAGCGACTCTAAATAGCTTAAAGCAATTTTTCTAATACTTTTATTCAGGAATTGATTATGAAAAGAATATTTAATCAAACTTCAGAACAGTTTCGAGATTCACAACACCTACCTCCAACTCATCTACATTTAATTTTATGAATAAAACATCTTCACATTCTTCACAAATTTTGTCCAGTTCTGGAGCGACTCTTTTGCAAGGCCCACACCAATCCGCAAAAAAATCTAGTATCATCAGCTTTGTTTCACTTTCTTTGATAGCCTGTTCTAATTCTTCCTGTGGTTGCATAAAAAGTAATATAACTTTAGGTTTTGTAAACGAACTAGTAGCAACTTGAATTGAACTTTTAGATATAACAAATAAAGTTTACGCTGATCGCCTTAGTAAAGACACTCTATATAGAGTTCGTGAAATAACATAATATCAATAACCTATCCATGATAATTAAAAAACTCAAGTGACTAATAAATGATAACCACTATATATTATGAGCCCTCAATCGGATTCAGTGATATTAACATAGGTCCTCAGGCAAACGTGCATATAGCATGAGAAACAATTAATTCGTTATGGGTGTTAAACTTAACTATAGCAAATGGTGTGAATTGACGTGATAAAATATTTTCTGATTAAAAGAATTTCAGTTTTCTAATTAGTTCTTTATCAAATCACGATCCTCAACAACATTAGGCACGAACCAAAATTTAAATGCTGTTTATCCTTATGGTCAAGGGGCTATTTAAAGCAATGCAGGTTTGATATAGGCAATCCGTAGTTTATTATTTGATGTCAGCAATCAGAATGTTCAATATAGATGAAAAATGTATCATAAAAGAGATGAACCTTAACACTTGATATCAGTAAGTAGAAACTACATTTTTTGTATCACTGCAGTCAATACATCAAATAATCACAAAACATCAAAGAAACAAAAACACTGTCAACTCTAAGGGAAAATACATGAAACAAAGTAATCAAGTTATTTTTAAACCAAAGTAATGAAAAAGATTATAAAATTTAGCGCTTTTTGAAGGCATGGATTAACATCATACAGAGAAATTTTTTTACATTTTCACAAGTCGTATAAAAGAATTATGGAGAAGTGTTCTGATACGCAAAACGTTAAAATTATTGAATTATGATTTGCCCATATTCTTCAGTCGTTTCGTAGTTTTATCAGATAAGGGACGTTTTTAATTTTCAAAGAAGTGTCCTTCAAAACTTCGTGGTAGCACTAAATGATTTGCTGAAAGCGGATATAGTTTTTGTCTTCATTTTTAGGGATATTACAAGACAGTACACCTTTATAAATGCCGTAAGCAGATTGACTGGAATGAATAATATGTTGGTTTGACTAGTACAACAGCGGTAATTTCTAAGCTTTATGCTAGAAAGACCATTGGCTTCCTTGCTTCATGACATTTCAAAGGTCCTTACAAACTTTGCAAACGGAATGCGTAAAAACCCAAAGAATGGTTTATTCAGTAATATTTTGAAATAGCGGCTCTGTAATAGATTTGGATAAATCTGTTCACCAGTTCATCCTTTATCCTATACTATGAGATCATTCATAGAGCAAACAAATTCTACGACCAGTAAACAGAAAAAAATTGTTGTTGTTTTTAAACGAAAGCTAGACACGTAAGATTTAGTAACTGCTTTTAGCCGTTATTCAATATTTAGACCAACAAGTTATTACATGCTGATTGCTTTTCGGCTTTGGCAAACTGAAGATTAAAAGATTTACAAATTATGTTCACCCCAAAGTGAACAAACAGAAACTTATGTAGAGAGATTGACCACAAAAGAAACAATCGTATCACAACGCTAAAGCCAATCAGAGTTTTAAACCTTTGTGTTTATTGCCCGAATATATCACGGACTAGACATTCTCATTTGTCTAAACAGATAAAATATCACCTCGAGGGAAGATTACACACCTCATAAGTCTATTTTATACCGCTTGAACATCTTTTAATGTTTGACGGGCTTTGACAAAAATTTATTATCTCTTTACTTCACGGATATCTGTTTAGCAAACTATGCCACATGTAGATCGCCTCACCATTGTCGAAAGATTTGAAGACCCCTAGATACTTCTATTCCCTCGAGAATTCTGAATGAAGTTTGCAGACAGATTAACGGTAACATGATCTTAATAAACCGTAATATACCGATAACGAATGTTGTTAGTGTGCACTGGTATCTATGGAGCTGTAAAATCACACTCTCAAGAATATAACAGGATTTGAGTATGTACCCAAATGACCGAATAGGTGTTTTTTCTGCTGCTGTCATCCATTTTAGTTGGTATTACTTATCTATGAATTTGTCTCCGAAATTTGAACCTCAGTATTCAAGATATTTTATAACACATTACTCAAAAGCCATCGTGATATCACGTTAGAGCAACCATATCGTTTGTCCCTTCAAACAAACTTTGAAAAGAAAAACAATCATCAGGAGCGGGTAACCAACTTCATCCAGCCTTTTTTCAGGATCATAATAATGACCTGTGAAGTACATAAAAACAAGTAATGATCAAACAGCTGTGTCATAATGTTCCAAACTTCTAGAACCCGACACACTTTGGTTCACTTTATACTAATAAACCTGAGGAGTTATACTAGGGAATAAGGATAAATAGATGTGAGAAAAAGTTTGTGATAATCCCTTATCATCATGGATCTCACCGACTGATATTTTAAACGAAGGTTTCTAGTTGCCCTAGGTTAAGCGATGGAGAAGAATACTGTTTTATGACCTCTCTTCTTAATCACACTCGATAGTTTATTGTCATTTGCCAGATTGCTTATAGGATCAAGAAAAGACACTCAAAGTGTCTCACATTTATTAAACAATTATATGTTTTAGATTCCAGGGAATATTCTGCCCACCATTTCTGTCTAACGAAAATGGAGCAAAGATCATAATTTTTCAACACAGTGAACACAGATATTCGTCTGTGAGAATTTAAATGTCCGGTGATCTACAGTTAAATAGATAAGAAGTAATGATTAAGCTACTACACTAAAATTGGGAATACTATAGTATTCCTGCTTATCAAAGACTATGGCCGAAGAATAAAATGCGTTAGATTTAGAGGTAAAACCAAATGTTTGTGACGCTAGTTTCATGACTTATTGTGATAACTTCCAATGTATATACACAAGTTAACTGCCGTTATGTGTGTAAATACGATTTCAGGTGTAAAGTAACTCAGATAATCTGCAAATAATAAAATGCAGTATATCTTCATGTCTAATATGGTATCCTCTATCTGATTTAAAAAACTCATTAAAACTGCTTGCATTACTTACAAGAATTAGTATTATCTTCTTGATATTTCAACATGACCTGAGTTCTTAGCTATGACAAGTGTAAAAAGGTATATATTGTACTTGTAAAAGAGGCGAAATATAAATCCGATTTTCAAGGTAAAACGAAAATCTCATACGTACCTCAGTCTGAACTTCTCTCATCTCCGAACGAAAACAGGTGTTAAAAGTTTGAAAATGTCCCCTCTTTCTATGTATCCAAATTCGTTTGTGTAGATAAATACACGATCCGCTGTTCAATTACCAACAAATGATCAACAAAATGTTTTCTTACAATATGACATTAAACTATCAAATCATGAGAAGAATGTAACTTGACAGGATGAATGGAATAAAAAACCTTAATATTTGGTGTGACAGTAATAGAATATCTAGTATCTTTATGACAGCCCTGTTTAAACTGACAGATTTCTTTGAACTCACATCTTAATATAATGGAGTGATTTACAGTCTTTAATGCCATACAGTATATATAGCATGACTACTTGGCTTGACTTATTCTATTGAATTTGATTTTTAAATGGGGTTAATATTTCTTGAGAATAAATGGGAGCATTTGTTTAAGAGATATGACGTGAAAGAGGCTAACAACTATCATATTACCGTGTGTGAGATCGAATTGTTGTGATACTAGAGACCACAAAATTAAAGTGTAGAGCAGTGAGCTTCACAATGAGTAGATCGATCGTTGGTGTAAGAAAAACCGAACAGGTGGGGGTATCTAGTTCATTTGTTGATGCAAAATTACAGAATGATTTCATAAAATATGAAAACTATACACTAAATACATAAGTTGCACATTCTCATCAGTCGTCCTTTACATGCTTCATGATTTTCCCATTTCTCTTGTTATTATATTAACTCTGTCTAAATTTCTGTTCTCTTCATTTCGATCGCCTCAGTCTTCTCCTGACAGGCGTTCTACTTCCGAATGCTGTAACATACTACTTAGGTCTGTCAACATAAGTAGTACAAACGACACAATCAAGAAAACACGGCTTCTGACATTCTCAGGTGCATAAGTGTGGTCTTTTTAAATAATCGACGAAGTATATAAATGCCATGGCCTGAAGTATTGGATATTAGCTGTTTAGTAATAAGCATCGATTTATTGGTAAGTTAATTTTATGAAGAACTAGAATCACCTGAGCGATTTGGGTCAGCGCTAACTAGATGAGGGGAGCTAGAGTAAAATTATAGTTTGATTCAGTATCAGTACATTTGTTTTTGTTACCATAATAATAGACCTAAACCCAAAATGGTAGAGTTATCATGATTTGACTACCTAATCTGTAAGAATTTGCTTGAGAGACACATCATTCATTAAACTGACTCGTCATATCGTGACAATCAGAAGTGTAACGTCTAGCACTTCTAGTGAAAACGTTTGAGCTGTGGGTAGAGTAACATACTTGACACATAAAGTAAGAGGTTATTCAGAATAACTGCACCTGCACGACCGATCTATAACATTTCGACTAATTGTTTTGCGTTCACATTTTTAATCGAAACATGCGAACTTAGTAAAATCAGAAGTCAGAGGCGAAAAGCTGGAAGCAATTAGACACAACTTGATGTTGTAATCCTAAAAGTCTGCTGGGCGACCAGTCACAATGATACGGGAATTATTACATCCGCAATCCTTGTGATCAATTGCAGTCGGCTTCACTCGTTCTGTGTTTTTTACGCTATTTCTTTTGTGCTGAAATTCAGAGGTTAATGCAACGCTATAGGCGTTGTTGCAAATTTTCATTGAATCAGCTTCGTTTTCGAGGTTTTGCTGCGTCTACTCAAGTCAGTGCATTTTGTCAGGCAACCTCATTTGTTTTGTTATAGAATGTTGGTCCGTTTCCCTTTGAGTATTATATTCATGTTGAAAATCAAAGATTTGTTAGCCAAAATAAATGTTGCTGCCGCCTAGGATTCTAACTGTCCCTATGCTCGTTCTTAACTGTCATTTATGATGTCAATGAAAGAAAAAGATCTGAGGGTTTTCTTTTCCTCAGTATTATGGACAACTCCATCCCACCAACGATTCAAATTATTACTGAGTTCGCAGCAGTAGGGGATATCAGTAATGTCTTCAAAAAGATCCAAGGACCTGACAATTATAGACGAAGTCAGAGATGCTACCAATCTATTATAGAGGGTTCGTCATTGAGGCGCGCTTTTGAAGGTTGTAACTTTTTTTCACGTGGTATTATTTTATTTTCCTATCAGTTTTTCTCTTTAATTTAACACTTGATAGCGATAAATAATTCGTCACTGATAGGGTTCTATTAACTTTACACCTTATTTAGGAACTCAACCTCATAAACTAATATTGCTAGTTTTCACGCTATCACTATCACCAATTAACTGTAATATATTTACTCTTAACTAATACTGGGTCTGATCCTACCATAAAACTTTACACGTTCACTAAGTTAAATTACAGCTATCGCCATCCACCTAATTAAACTTTGAATTAACATTACTTCCAATAATGTCCAGGCCATCTAAAAAACATATAATCTCTCCAGATGCCTATAGCACCTGCAAAAGATCTAAATCAGTCACTAAAGCGAATAATGCGAAACCTTATAAACACACTGATCAGTCTGCATCCTACTCTGATCTTCCCTCAGCCACACTAAACGTGCACCCTTTACTTGGACAAGACATATCACTACCTTGCATCTCGCTTGTCGATATAAATAAGAGCAGTCACATGCTGTTAGAGTCGACATCATTTGTCAGTCCCAAAAAGAGCACCGAATATTGTGAGCAGTATTTAGACAGTGCGGCTGACCCCAAACACCCAACAATTTTACAATCGGCCATCCTAAGTAGCGGCTCACGAATTACGACTGACTACAATAGCCAGCCCGATGACGTAGATCTTGACTACTCACCCAGACATATACCCAATCCCCCAACTAAGTGTGCACAAAGTGACCACCCGCTAGACACCTGTAACAGGCCTGTATGTAACCATATCGACCTTAAAAACTTTGATATAAACTTGAATAATCTCACCACCGGTAGACCTAGAAGCCTAAAAAAAGAACTTAGCAACACCCAAACTATTCAAGACCTATTACCGTACAAATATTTAATCAGTGTTCCAGAAAACCCCGATCTGGAAATTATAAAAAACACTGAAAAAATAATTGACCATATATCAACCGAAGTGTTAAAAAGACTTCAGTGTATGCATAATGTCATTGTGTATAATATACCTGATAGTACGAACATAAAGATTGCTAAAAATACTCTGCTACAAGAGTGTGGATTGTCGCAATCTTGGTGTGTAACAAGGAGATTACGTAAAGGACACACTAAAGCCTCATGTCCCATTCTATTTCAGTTTGGTAGTACCACTGAAGCTAATCACCTCCTTAATAGTCAGTCACTACTGAGGCGTATTCCAGCATTTAAAAAGATTAGGATCATTCATGACAGGACCGCTATCCAGCGTCGTATCTGCAATGGAACACAAACTGATCAACCCAGCTTACGTAGCCGCGGCAGCTACAGCTCTGGTCACTGCACAAATCCTAAAATATCATACACTGCCCCCCCAAAAAACGGAGGCACGTCGGACACTGCAATTAATCCTAAGGACAATACCGCTCATAAAGCAGCTACAACCACTCACCCTCAGCCCAAACACTCAGCTACCCCAAAATGCCAAACCACTTATGCCTCAATAGCGTCCAAGTATCACCCTAGCGGCCCCTGTAAAATGCCTAAAAATGACCACCCCAGGAATTGCGCTAACAGCTACAGACTCTCAGACATCGCTGTACGAAATAATACCAAACCCTCCGTAAAAACCCACCAATACTCCAGCACCTCTAACCCAAAACGTGCACCTTCTCATAGCAATAGAATGCCCTACAACGAACATAGTGAACTGGCAACACCCACTCATCCTAATGTGAAACGACATTTGACAAGAACCACACCCACACGTGATACCCATAAGTCATATAGTGTCAACCTTGCAAGCCCCATGAATCAACACAAAACTATACACATCAGAAACACCTCTCTTAGCAACAATAACAGGCATTCCTTTATTCCTCATCAGAAACATACAACCTCCCCAACTAACCACAATAGGACTAAAATTGCCCACCGCACACAAAGAAGCCATAACGTTGGCCTACTTGGAAACCCACCTACTGACTCTAGGTACTATCTAAGTCAAGCCACCCAATACAGCGGTTTAGTCTCCCCTAATTCGACATACACACTATCTCATCCTTTTTTATCTCTCCCCCCCTCAACATTACTGCTATGGGGTCTCCAAATGTTGAGGGCGACAATCCCACTATTCTGAAACCATCGATATACTCCAATTTGATGGGGAGTGGCAGATCCTTCTCAGCCTCGATAAATGTCTCTAGTCTTGAAAACTTCTTGACTGGACCCCCTGATCATTCCCCGGACACATTACCTAACCATTCAACTCTACCTCCCACTCTTAGACATACTTCTATCACCAAAACAACACCCGACTACCCTTCTCGCATTAACCCTACTGGTAATAAACTAAACGCTCATCAATATGGAGTCGACGCTCCCAATTCTTCCTTTTCTCGTTGCAAAACAGACAAATCACTGGGTATACATCATACCCTTCTACTAGACAAACAGTCACCGTACCTGACACTTATGTTAATTAACGCTCGATCTGTACAAAGTAAGATGACTCACCTACGCACCTTTTTACTTTTAAACAACCCCTCACTTGTTTTGATAACGGAAAGTTGGCTGTCCTCCGACACCACAGACACATTTCTACAAATAGACACATATGAGCTCTTCCGCAGTGATCGAGTAACCAAGAAGGGTGGTGGTTGTCTCGTTTATGTATCAAAAAATTTGAGAGCGGAAATCTATAGCGACCACGTCCTCAGTAAACTTCCTGAATCGATATGGCTTACTGTGTACACTCATGAATGTAAAATACTAATCGGATGCATATATCGAGCTCCTAACACTCCTAGTTCAAATGACACTATTATAAATGAGTCATTTGCTCAGGCTGCCTCGCTTGACTTCACTTACAAAATTGTATGTGGTGATTTCAACCTTCCCACCATCAACTGGAAGACACATTCTGGCCCATTGTGCTATGAAAGCATACTTAGGACCTTAGACATACACGGCTGGCAACAACATGTACACCTGCCTACACGAAATCACAACATTCTTGACTTGATATTCTGTCATAATGTCACACCAACATCAATGGTGGTTGGCGAAAAGTTTCACAACAGCGATCATAAAATAGTCCTCTGCACCCTTCCGATTCTTGCCATATGCAACAAATTAAAGACATTAAACACGCGATTCCAATATAGAGACTATGCAAATGCTGACTGGGAAAACTTTCAATTTCTAATAAAACACTCTGACTGGGGCAGTTTCTTTACCAGTAATAACCTCTTAGAAACATTAGAAATATTCAATATCACCACCAAATCTGCACTAGACACTACTGTACCCTCTAAAATTGGTTTTAAAACAATTACTCCATATCTAAACCAAAAGACTAGGTCTAAACTGCGAAAACTGAAAAGGATGTACTATATATCAAAAGACTTCAGTGCCCTGCACCAGATATACTCTGTACTTGACGGAGTACAAAGTCAACACAACAAGCGTAAACAGGTAGAGGAACGTACTGCGCTCACTGCTGCATCTAAAGCCCAAGCCCTATGTCGTCTCCTCACGAAGCGCATAAGAAAGAACACAGACCACAACATTCACTCCTTACTGCACGATGGAGTAACGTATAATGACCAAAGCGTCATATGTGAACTATTAAGTGAATGGTTTTCTCACAATGGGAATACATCTGATGCTCCAGACATCGACATAAAGTGCACCGGCAAAAACGATCTTAGTACCATAAACTTCGACATAAGGAGTATACATACCGCCATTAAAACCCTTAAGTCAAATGCGAGTTCTGGCGCCGATGACATCCCTTCAATCGTTTATAAAATGTCAGGACCGGACATACAGACGCTTCTACTCAAAATATACACATTATCTTTAGAGACAGGTACATATCCGGAAACCTGGAAGGTAACGTATGTTCTTCCCAAACACAAATCCGGACCAAGAAACCTGGTTGAAAACTACAGACCTATAAATATCACTCCAGTCATATCACGCATAATGGAAAAAGTGATACAAAATCAACTATCTGATCACCTGCTCAAGGAAGATCTGATAGACCCGTCACAACATGGCTTCATTAGAACAAGGTCGTGCAGTACATGCCTGATAGACTTCTTCAACGAGGTTACTCGTATACGTGACCAGAAGAAACTAGCTATTATACTATACTTCGACATTAAGAAAGCCTTTGATAAGGTACCTCATAATCTTCTAATCAACAGACTTAAGTCAGTTGGAATTATAAATCCCCTTTTGCAATGGATCAAGTCTTTTCTTACGAACAGATATCAAATAACCAAGGTTAACTCTAATACATCTACACCTCGACCTATAACCAGTGGTGTTGTGCAGGGTAGTGTCTTGGGTCCATTGCTCTTTATAATCTATATCAACAATATATGCAAGTGTTTTAGCACAGGTAAGACCTACCTCTATGCCGATGACTTAAAAGTCATCTATAAAACTGACATTTCCGATTTACGCAGTACTATGGAAACAATCCAACGTGAACTCAACATGGTAAACGACTGGTGCAAACGCTGGAGGTTAGAGCTCAACACAGAGAAATGCGGCTGGTTATGTATAGGAGACACATCTCTCAAAACGAAACTAACACTTAGCAATCACACACTGCCCAGACTGGCATCAGTAACTGACCTAGGGGTACATTACTCACACAGTCTTAATTTCTCTGAACACATCTCAGCCAAAGCATCCAAAATGCGGAAATTGCTTGGCTTCATTCTCCGTAATTTCTATCAAAATGAATCTAAAATCCTTCTTTACAAAGTTTGTGTAAGACCTATCGCTGAATACTGCTCGTTCTTATTTTCCAACCTACGCGTATCTGATATACTAAAGGTGGAAGGAATACAACGAGACTTCACTCGCAAGGTACTTAAGACTGACTTGGTCATTGACTATAGTTCCCGATGCCAAATTTTAGGAATAGCACCACTTTGGAAGAGAAGGCTTAGGTCTAATTTGATTCTCTACTTCAAACTACTCAAAAACCTTACTTATTCAACGTGTAAGATAATTCTTGCCCGAGATTCACATGAATACGGACTTCGAAACAAAGTATCTACGGTCAAAGTTGAGAAATACAGATCAAAAACTCGGGAAAACTTCTTCCTCACCAAGTATGCAATAATATGGAACAGTCTTCCCTCCGAAACTCGCATGGCAGATGAATTACATACGTTTGTAAAACTGCTTGATCAAGCCCTCACCTGCACTGATCTTGCACGTACGAACACATCTGCGCCCCACTCAGACATCATAGGCTCTCTCCATGTCTAGACCAAAATGGACTTCAAGTTCAGTATGCCTTATTTTTCCTACTTTGCAGTTGTATTAATTACTTTTCCACCCCATTTCTTCACTTGAAGTAGACAGGTAACTCAATGGACCTATCATTACTGTTAAGATAAACTCGGTCGATAAGGGACACTCACTACCACCCTAAAACGTCAAGAGGACCGCACAATCGGCTGCCTACTACCAGTGGTCTTGCATCTATGGAGCCTGTTACCAATCAACTGGTTAGGACAACAGAAAATAACATCAGCACCAAGTTACTGTGAGTCCCTTCCTGTTTATCCTGTATTACCTTAACTAGCAATTAATATTATTTCTCCACTCGTTCTCATATCCACAACTCATATACTTCTATACTTTTTCCGCCTGCTTAGATAAACAACTATCCTACAATATACCCTTCTCAACGCTTATACTCTGATTGGCAAACTATACTTTATACTATAGTCAACAGAGGCACTGCATCGATGCTTTACCCACAGTCCATAGCTTGTAACTGTCTGATAAGCTTGTAAAATGGTACTTATAGAAATAGTGCTTTCCAACAGTTTGTGAAACAGAGGATTGTGCGAGGTATGACGTATATACAAAAATAATGCTAAATGAGCCTAACATCACAAAAGGAGGGAGGGTGGAGTTACTGACCAGCAAGCATTGATGGTGAGGGCGATAACTTCAATCCACCCATGTTTGTGGGGACAGAACATTTTGTATGTATCAGGCTCCTCATGACTGAGAATAATTCAATCAATCTGTGATATAGATTGTTTTCCTACGCTCACCACTCAAACTCATGTTTCCAATATTATGCTGGATTAGCTATTCTACTAAGACAACCCATAACATGCTAACTCGGATTTTTACACTAGGATTGTGTGGCTGGCATCGGAAAAACAAAAAAAAAAAGTTAGACAATAAAAGATGTAGTCATTAATATTCTTAACACTTCACCCTCTATATACACACCCTTCTTATAAACCGCTTTCCTAGTAACAGCCTTGACTTCCTTTCCTTCGTGTGAGCTTACTCCAACTTGGTAAACATCACAACTCATTGTTCTTTATTAGTACATTTTATAATATGGAGCCTCTGACTTCATTTTACTAACAAGACATAATATGAATTTATTCTAATTTATTATACCTACTACACTATGTTAAGCAACGTTTTGCGTTCATATCCAAGTGCCTTGCTGCTCTTCTGTTTCTCTTTTTTTCTTCTTTTTTTTCTTCAGAATCTTGCTCTGAGAGCACGGCTATGAAACTTCTGACGTTTGGAACAAACTTGATGTACGCGTCCTCTCAAGGTCATAGTTTACAGCAAGCGCTCTACGATTTCACTTTATAACAACTATAAACTTAATAAGTTGGCAAACATTTTGTGAACCAACAAATGTTGTAATTTATAGATCATGCCTGTAAAAATGGTGTGTACCTGCTGATGCAGAAATATATTATTATTATTATTATTATATCCTATAGCAGTTGTTACGTCCAAGTTTTGCTCGTTCTAGTTATTGAAGTACGGACTATCGATCTACTTGCAAATTACGAACCCAAATTAATAACAGAACCAAACTCCTATTTGGATACCAAATTCATTCGTAATTCACAAATAATCGACCAAATGTCGTTCTAACAACAATAATTATAATAATTACAAAACAAACCTTCAATTTTGTAGGTTCCCGGAGCAAAACTCTCAAATACCAAACCAAAGATAGAGAGAGCACCAAAATAAGAAACCAAGGACAAACCAAAATGTCCGAAATAATGATATAAACAAACAAGTTCAAAGTTAAGTAAAACAATTACATCCAAAAACACAGTAAATTATTAATGTACAATAAAAAGGTTTTAATTTGCCAAATGTTTTCAGTTCTCCCGTAACACTCCCGACCAAAAGAACCTTGGTTCTTTTCACAGACAAACAAATAAGCAACAATATATGCATCACAAACAATCAACAACAAACACTCAATATACCAACAATTTCGTGATCCCTAGGACTTACACCAGTACGCCTAGGGACCCGAGTAGCTACCTACCATCTACGGCTTCAAGAAGACACAGTTTTCTAATATCTCTCACTAGGATCCCCTTTTTTGTCCTCAATTCTACCTGCCTCACTAATATATCCTTACTTGGTAACACTCTCTGCACTAGACCCAAGGGCCATTTGTTTTTCTCGGAGAACTCGGAACATATCATTACTAAGTCACCCTCTCGTATGTTCCTCTCTAGTTGGGTCCACTTGTATCTACGCTGTAACAACGAAACACATTCCTTAGACCAACGTCTCCAAAATACTTGTGCCAAGTAATTCGCTTGCTTCCATCTCTTAGAATACCTGTCATTAGATAGGACGTTAGTGAGTTCGGCGACGTTCTCTCTCAATAGTAATAGTTTCGCTGGTGTTATTGCATCGAGATCATTAGAGTCGTCCGTAACCGGAACCAAAGATCTATTGTTAATTATACGCTCAGCCTCTATCATGAAAGTTTCAAGGCATTCATCTGTTAAAGATTGTTCCTTTACAAGAGCACCCAATACTCTACGTACAGAGCGAATCATGCGCTCCCAAACTCCTCCCCAATGACTAGCAGCCGGAGGACTGAAATGCCAGTCAATCCTTTTTCTTAGCAAATCAGAGTGTATACGCTCCTGTACCCAATCCTGAAGACATTTTCTTAGCTCACGTTCAGCCCCACCAGATTTGATCCATTATAACTGTATATCTCTTTTGGATAGCCTCTCCTGCCGATAAACCTCATCAATGCCATGATAAATGAGTCTGTGGTAAAACTATATGCAACTTCCAGATGCATAGCTCTCAACCTTAAACATGTGAATACACAACCATATCTCTTCTCGGTACGTTTGACCATAATGGGTCCAAAATAATCTACACCGACTGATAAGAATGGATACTCACCATCTTCTATTCTGCTCGGAGGTAGTGGTGCCATCAGTTGTTGGATGGGGAAAGCGTTCCTCCTTTTACAATAAACACAATCCTTAATCAGTCTCCTCATGGTCACACCACCTCTCAGCACCCAAAATTTTTTCTCGAACTGTTGCCATTACCTGTGTGGCTCCAACATGCCTTTCCAATATATGATAATATTGTAGAATCAAATTTGTAACTCTATGCTTTGATGGTAATATTATAGGATACTTCCTCGACTCGGGCCAGGAACTAATTTGAAGTCGGCCACCAACACATAATAATCCGTTTAACATCATTGGATTTAAGATCCGTAACGGTGAATTTTTTTATTTTCGCCTTGCTAATGGTATCAGACGACAATATTTCAATCTCTTTCCGAAATACTCTGCGTTGGACATATCGAATTAAATCTAAACAGGCTAAATTTAATTCATCAACTCTGAGCATACCCACCTGTAGAGACAGATCTGTTCTACCAGAGCTCATGATCAATAGATATCACTTGAATCGGGTTAACCATGCAACAGCCTTAAGTAATTTAGTCCAATCTGAATAGTAATTAATAAGTAAATCGACGGAGGATTCTTCAACTAACACATGCGTGGACATAGCTTTCTTTAATTCCAAGAGATGGGGATCAGGACCTCGTATATCAGCAGCAGGCCAACAGTCCTTTGGCTTCCTCAAAAAATGTGGACCCTCCTCCCATACCTAGACGTCATTGATGTTGAACTTGACCCCTCTGGATGTGAAGTGTGCTATGTTTTCATTAGAAGGTACGAATCTCCATTGGTCCACTTTAATAAGACTATGAATAGTCGAAATCCGGTTTGCTATGAATGTTTTAAACTGGCTTTTCTCATTTCTAATATAATGTAAGACAATCATAGAATCTGTCCAAAATCTAACCTCTGCAAACTTAACATCTAACTCGAACTGCAGCTGGGACCCCATGCGAGCTGCTAACACTGCAGCCGTAAGTTCCAAACGCGGTATAGTTTGAACTTTCAAAGGGGTTACTCTTGCCTTAGCCACAATAAGACGAGAACATACTTCAGTGTCATGGGTGTGAGAGCGGACGTATGCCACTGCACCATATCCAGTTTCCGAGGCATCACTGAAAATGTGAAGTTCCAGGAGCGAGCGATCTGACTGCATAGGCAATAAGCAACGTGGAAAACTAACGTTCTCAACCCCCTGAAATTCACTTAAAATCCGTAATCAATGTCTGCTTTCCTCATTTGGAATCTCTTCGTCCCATGCTAGTCCCAATTTACCTAAACGTTGGAGTAACTGCTTCATTGGAAGTATAAACGATGCTAACAATCCCAAGGGATCGTAAAGTGAGGCTACACTCGACAATATACCCCGCCTAGTGAGGGGACGTTTCGGTATGCGAACCTTAAATTCAAACGAATCAACCATAGTATTCCAGAATAATCCCAATGTGCGTTCCGTAGAGAGCCTTTCAAAGTCAATCTTTCTTACGGCTTCTGCTCTCTCCTCTGGATGAATTGATTCGAGAACTTGTAAACAGTTACTTATCCACTTCGTAAGTCTAAACCCACGTTTTCTGAGGAGTAAAGCAAGGGTTTTTGCTAGCTCAATTGCATCCCGCACGTTGTCAATGGAGGCTAAATAGTCGTCGACATAGAAACTCTTATCTACGACGTCCTGGATATCTTCATTAAATTCCTTACCGAATATATCTACCGTCTTCTTAAGAGCGAAATCAGCGCCAAAAGGGGACGACACGGCTCCAAACGGATGAACTGTTAAACAATATTCCTTAGGCTTTCGTCTTATATCACCGTCTTCCCACCACAATAGACGAAACGCTCCCCCGTCTTGTCTCGGGATCTTTACTTGAAGAAACATCTCTTCAATATCAGCAGCTAATGCTACGCTACCTAATCTAAATCGTAGAAGTACACCGATCAAACTATTTACAGTATTTGGTCCTCTGAAAAGCTGGTCATTAAGAGAACAACTTTGATAGACAGCCGCACAATCAAAAACAATTCTCAATTTGCCAGGCTTTTTAGGGTTGATAACAGGATGATGAGGAATATACCAACAAACAGCATCATGGTCAAATTCTTCTTTACTAGCTTCAGTGACGTAGCCCTTACTTAAATGTTTATTCATCACAACTTGATATTTCTCCAAAAGACTGTTATCTTTCATAAACCTCCTTCTTAAGCATTCTAGTCTGCGTTCAGCTAGTTCCAAATTATTCGGTAGCCTTGGCTTATCATACTTCCATGGTAGACCAACTTGGAAATGACCACCCTCGAAGTTAAACGAATTGCT